TGTGCATTTAATTCCCCCAACAAATGCAATAAAAATGCATTATTGTGATAGACAGCAAAAAGAAAAGTTAAAATGAAAGTGAATGTGTACACAAATAAATACCTCTCATCCCACGGTTCAGGACCAAGTTATGCTCATCTGGAGAAATCAGATTCAGGTTCTCAGCTTGGAGATGATCCATGTCAACTCCAGACACACTGAGCAACAGCAGAGCCACTTCTGGCAGCCAGCATCTCGCACACCACATCCTTCACTTTCCTCTGCGTCTAATTAATCATACAATGCTGTAAGCTTCTTGCTGAATTCAGTATGTAATGAAGAACACAAAAAAACTGTACTGAGGAGAAAAAAAGGAAGGTATCTTGAAATGTAAAAATCAATGTGCTTACCTTTAGTATAGCCACCCGTATAAGGTGACAGAAATATGTTACTCTCTGAACCCAAATCTTTTCCCACGCTCTTACTGTATGGTCTACACTGACTGAATGAAAAGCACCAGCAGACTGCTGAGTTTAGATTCAGAGTTCACTGAAATTCTTTCACACTGTGTCTCCTGCCCAGTCACAACTGGACTTCAGCCTCAGATTCACATCACAATGACATCAACCCTACACTTATCTGTGTCAAGTGAGATAAACCCACATGTAAATGGAGAGATATGAGCTTTGTAAACCCATATCTCTGACTTACTTAAATCACTTTAAGCCTGAATGAGGCTGAAGTCCAGATGTGAATGGATTGTAGGGGTTCAACTACTTAAATGTGTTGCTGGTGATCTGGCATCTTTCCACTTGTTATTTCATCTACTTTAACTTATGGTAAAGTACAGTTTTGTACAGTTCCAGTTTTGTGTTTGCATAATTAAAACGGCAACATATTGGTGCTGTCTTCTCCCACAGAAGAAAGGGATTACACCATTTGTTCTGGTAGTAAAAAGGCTCATTTCAATACCACAAACTTTAAAATTTAGAATACAAACTTTATTCATCACAAATGGGGCAATTAAAGAGAACAGACACATACAACATGTCAATAAAACTAAATTCTTACATTCATTCTTACACTAACAAAAGCCTTTAAGTTTCTGTGACAACTCAAACTGCACAATGATCAAAATCTTTTTGTTGATCATAATTACAACATCTATCCTACTTGGTCAATCAAAAGACAATGATTACATTTATATTGCACATTTTCAGTACTTGTGTTCAAGTTGCTCTGCAAGCCAATAAATACATCAAGCTCTACAGACATTACCTCAGGACAGATACGAGCTAAAAGGCACTTCTCTGTGGAAACAGCAGCAGCTCCAGTCTAATGATTCTACTAAGGATTCTTGCGGGGCTGCTACCAGAGAACAGTCACTTAATTATCTGGTTCTTCATTGCCGTCAAGTAAGCTGAGACAGGAAGGAATCAATGACCTAAGGGAAAAGGATGATTTTTCTGTTTAAGAAAGTCATCAACGACAGTGGTAATGATGTATTTATACATGCGGCACTGACCTTCGCCATGTCTCCAGCAGTTCCTGGGACAGATTTCAGTAAAGGTTGCTGATGCCATAACTCCAATAACTGCTGATTAAAGGCCTGGAAATTTCTGTAACAAAGTTAAAATAAATATTTTACCACAAAGGCTACGTATTCTGATCTACACAGTGCACCAAATAATGGAAATTGTGTAATAACCAAACACATGATGGGGATCATTATAGCATTTTGATTATTAATTAGCATTATGTTATTTTGTTTATTGTATAAAAATAACATGCTGCTTCGCAGTGTTGGGGAGTAGTGTACTACATGCAATTAAACTACTAGTTTAACTATATTTTGCAGTAGCCTGCTGGTAATTCAACTACAACAGTTTAGGCTTGGTTTTTAATGTTTTGAATCTGAATTTGTCATTTGTTTTCGCTGGCATGTCACTTTTTTACATTTTATTTTATTATAACTTCATATGACATGTACATTGTCAATTTTTTCTACACAGTAGTTTGAAATACTTTGTTTAAGTAGCTTTAGTTAACTAAACTAGATTTATCCTGAGGGTAGCTTTGCTGCAATTTCTTCCAGTGTGAAGTACTTGTAGCTTTCAAAGTAGCTTCTCCAACACTATTGCTCAAAAAACACAGCAACACTTACTCATCCAATGGGAGTTTAGTTGATCCACTGTAGCCACTTGCCCTTAGTTCCTCCCACCAGTTTTTCAAAACTGAATTGATCCACTTTAAACCAACAATAAGATACCTGTGAGAATCAAAGACAACCTTCAGTACTTTCTGTTTTTCTATGCACATATGTGTGTTTCACTATGTAATTTAGCTGCACTGCAAAAACAAAACAGTCCATGGCAGCAGGAATACTCACTCTTCATATGGATTGTTGAGGACTTTTTTAACTAAAGGAAAGAGTTCAACACAGCAGCCAATGGTAATCTTGGGGGAATCGTCATCAATGCTGCAGAGAGAATTAAATCTAAATAAGATGTACTCCACTTGTAGTCAGTCTTACTTTTGCTTAATCTAAGTCACTTACCTTTTGCTTATCAATGGGAGAAAATCAACAAACACACCAATGTCTTGGATTCTGCACAAAGACAGTGAAGTAACAATACTTTAAATTCAAGCAAGCATACTGTGTGTCACATGTTACCAACTAACTACACACTACATGTACGTACCTCAGGAAGTATGTCAACAGCTCTCCAACATTTCTCTGCCACAATGTTAAAGACACTTTGAGTCTCAGATTTCTTCCAAAGAGCACATCAGTCATTGTGCTATGATCCCTTGTGAGCTGAAACATATTGTTAGATTCAGACAGTTTTATCTGCATAATAGTAATAATAATAAAAAAGCCACAACACAAGAAAAGAAATATAGTCTGAGCTGTGATGTTATGTCTGACCTCAGTGAGTGTACTGTAGTCTGCTTGCTCAGAACCAGTTCTACCAGTCCTGTGGTTGTTATTGACATTTAGTGGGAACTCCCAGAGGTCCATGTCAAATATCTCCTGTTTCATGTCCTGCATGCAGTTCATCTCATTCTCCTTGTTTGCAGCATCACAAGTCCTCCCGGTCCCGACCTGCTTTCTCCGAGCCACTGTCAGATGATGGGTCTTCCTCTTACATGACACTACGCGCTTCACTCTGCCTGGGTTGTTGCCAGAGCGACTCACGGGATACCTGTGCCACGTGAAATGTTTAAGCGTATTGTTGAAAGCCAAAGCACATTATGCACTTGCTGTAATTTATCAACAAAACATGCACAACCTACCTCTTTTTGTTGAACTCCTCATTCTTATCATAGTCCGCCTGCACATAAAAACACATTTTGCATGGTGACAAATAACACTAGCAGAAAAAGAGGTCTAGCATACAGAAAAACATGTGTGTATTATAATGTGGCACCCAGCTCACCGCTTTTGTGTTTCTCCCGTGAGGATAGGTCACTCTATACTGGGCTGCTTGGTACTCTCCGTCTTCACTGTTGGAGTCCATTTGACCTAGAGAAAGAGAAATCCCTTTTAAATCAGTTCTATGATTATATTATATGAGTATATTGATTATAATACATTGTCAGACCTAAATAAATACATACAAACACACAAGATAACCACAATATGGTTTATATCTCTAAATCTATTATTCACAGCATTCATATAACATTCTGTTACGGCTTTAAGGGGCATACAACATTAAAATTCAGTACAGTAAGAAATCAGCATTATACCTCAGTGTAACAGGCTCTCCAGGCAAAACACATTAAAACACCATTTCCCACAATCCACGTGTGTATTATTGTTCTGCTGTGCAATGACGTAGTCAGGAACTGCTCCCGGGCCAAACAGCAGAGTTGTGTTGTGTTGCGATTGTTTTAGTTACTAATTTAATTTAACGTTCACATAACTATTCTGGTCAGGCATCGTTTGACCTTTCGGAGAGCCTGTCTTTAAACTGTGAGTGTTGTTCAAATAACTGAATAAAAATGCTTTCTTTTGAGCGCAGCACGTTTACACACGTAGTTATACACCGTAGCATAAATGTTAGTAACTGTGTCAAGAATTAGGTTCATCTGGTTCGCACGGTGTAACCACTGACAGTGTGAGGCTGTGAGGCTTTAACGTTAAAACAAGTGATCTAACGTTAGCAAACTAGTCTGTGACCTTCACATCAAATCATACAGTGAAGCTAATAACTTATCCTAACTGCTGTACTCACCATGTTTTCCCTTCTTAAGCAGTGACAGGAGAGTTAAATCTTTCCCTTTGATTATTTTAGGCGACAACTAACTAACGTTAGCTAACATCAGATTTCAAATGATAATACCGCCCAGTATGAGAGAATAAAGCGTCCCATTCATAATGCAGTGTGTGCAGTGTGCGCCCTCTAGCGACCACTGACATATAAACGGAGCAAATTTCAAATCCAAACACTTGATTAAAGCAGTGGTGTAGACTTGTGGTTTTGAGTCATACTCCCAGTCAACTGATCTCACTGATAACCGCATTAAACAAGAGAGCCAGTTACCATGACTCATAAATACGATCAGCTGGTGTAGTGCTTTGGCTCTAATGAAACTATGGTTTTGCCTTCATGAGCCATGACCCTGTCCGTGCCTTTACCCCGATCAGTGAGGCATACGGGCTGTTTGCCTTAGAGCTTTATTGATCTGAGGCAAGCTGTGACTTGTGGGTTAATCTCTGCTGTACTTGTGCTCACTTTGACAGCAGCAACCTCCCTGAATGCACAATGAAAAACAACATCAGCTGCTTTTATTGACACATCATCTCTTTCCCTTTTGCTCCTCGCTGACTCTGCTGCTTTGGTTCTGCAGTTTCATCATTCGGGTTGACTGATGTAGAGGTCCTCATCAGGGCCCAAAACACGGTCTGCGTGTGTCTGTTGCTGTGGGTGAGTTCTGTGTAAACTGGCACAGAGGTCAGGTGTGATACTTTAAAGCTGTACTGTTGTACAATCCCAAAACAGACACATTGATCCACTTGGTTTTATATTAATAGACTCAGTCATGTGATTTTGTTTGCATGACAGCTTTGATCATCATGTGACAGTTGTTTTATTTTCCGGGTGTGTGTTGCAACTTTAACCAGACTTCTGTTTCTTGAAGTCCAGTGTTAAAATGGTTCCTGCTCATGCTGCCTGTGCCTTGTTGAGCTTCGTACCCCTGTTGGTGCTTGGTGTTCCTCCCATTTGGACCCAGCCAGAGCAGGTGCACCTCTCTTATCCGGGTAAGTGTTTGAACTGTCTCCATCAGCCTCATGTGTTTTCATGTCGGGATACAATTTTCCCCTTAGTAATACAAAACAGTATCCAGGTCATATGGATTGCAGATTTGTACAGATGTTTTGTACAAATCACTCAATAATATAATGATTGAAAGCACTGGTATATTTAGAAATCTGAACGTTTTGTTGCTGGTCTGTAGCTCTGCAACAAGTTTCACTGAGTTGAAATTCGCTTTCATTTATCTTGATATCAAATAAAGTCAGTGCTAAGTTATGGGCTATATATAACATAATGTGGATATGTTGCATATTATACCTTTAAGGCTTATTCCCAATAAGCAACATGTGTGGCTAAGGTGTCCTGGTGCACTGAAGCACTATGTGTGCACTCTTTGGAAGTCATTTAGGTTAAAGACACCAGATAATTGCATCAGCTACCATACATACAGCTGAGGTTACCCTTGGTTAATACAGAGTCTGCAAAATATATGTTCTTCAGTTCATTCCTTATGAAGGTGAAACGTGGTAGTCATTAAAGCAGTTGATGTCTTGATGAAATAAGCACCTGGCCAGTCGTCAACTTAACTCAGGTTTTATCTTGCCAGCGGCAAGATCAAATGCGGCACTCTTGTGCAAAGTCAGCCTTTTCATAAGCATCTCTTGGCTTTTATAAATGCATCAGTAAGTGAATCCAGTTGTTCTGTCAGATCAGTCTACATCACGATTCCAATAATTGGGCTTTTCTTCACAGGAGTGCCTGGTTCTATGGCAGTGACCTGGACCACCTTCAACAAGACAGACAGCAAGGTGGAGTATGGCCTTCTGGGAGGTCGACTATTTGAGATGAGTGCCAAAGGTGGCACCACTCTGTTTGTGGACTCAGGAGAGGAGAAGAGGGAGCTGTACATCCACAGGGTCACTCTCACAGGCCTCAAACCCGCTGCTACTTATGGTGGGTGGAGCTTTAATATTACTGACTTTACACTTACACTCCATATAAACACGTAAACAAGACTTTTTTTTTTACTTCTCTTCTGTAATTTCAGTCTACCACTGTGGGAGTGATGAGGGCTGGAGCGATGTGTTCCTCTTCACTGCGCTGAATGACAGCACTAGTTTCAGTCCCAGGTTTGCTCTGTACGGTGACCTGGGCAATGAGAACCCTCAGTCTCTGGCTCGACTGCAAAAGGAGACACAGCTTGGCATGTACGATGTCATCCTGCACATAGGTATGCTCCACACTGATAGAAATCTTACAACCATATGCACTGTAAAAGCAGTAAATAGACGTTTTATCAGCGGTTAGGTAAGGCATTAGTCATCCACAGATACCTGGCACAACAGAGATGTATAATGAAGAGGTAATATATCATGATGGTAATTACTGTAATCAGCATAATGATACCTATTCATCATTTGTATATTTTGCTTTTGAACTATATGAGTTGGATGCTGGTCACTTGCTCACTTCACATTTGAAAAGGTGAATAGGTGGGGAGTAGACTCACAATAGGGTTGTGCCATAATTACTTTGCCCAAAAATTGAACTCAATCTCTGACTCTCTAGCATTTGTCCCCTGTCTCAATTTCACACCAGATAGTTTTAAAAAGAATAAGATTTCTCTTCCTTTTGTTGGCTTGGCAAATGAAACACCAAGTTAAACACTGTTTTACAGCCACTTAACAAGTTTACAGAGAATATAATTCTTTGATTGTCTCATAAAGTCAAATCAAACTTTTATTTGAGGTCAACCGTAGTTCACCAGTAATTTATTAAGGGTAAAGTTTGACATTTTGGGAAATATGCCTCTTTTGTCTGCCTTTCAATAGTTAGGTACCATTGTCATGTCTGTATGCTAAATATGAAGTTAGCATTGCTCTGTCCAAAGGTAACGCTGGTAGACCGATTTACTTACTTCTGGACAGCATCTGTTTCTAGTCTTTATGCTAAGCTAATCAAACTGCCTGCTGGTTCTAGCTTCATATTTAGCATACAGAGTGGAATCAATCCTCTCTTCCAACTCTCTGCAATAAAGCGATTAAGCATCTTTCCCTAAATGTTTAACTATTCCTTTGAGTGCATTATCACTATAATAAAGTCTGTTTAATGACAAAACGATGAACTGAGAATTAAATTAAGTAAACCTTTTAAGTAAACATATTTTTGCACAGTGCACCAGAGATATACACATTTGTATCACTCTATACTGTGGGAGAACATTTTAAAAACACTCTTTTCTGATCTTTTCTTGTTTTACAGGGGACTTTGCCTACGATATGGATGAGGTATTGTACTCTTCTGCCTTTTCAGTATCATGAACTCTCATCACACTTAGTTAAGAAAGCTGACAGCAAATTGCTTTCATCAAAAGTAAATATTCTCAAAGCCTCACTGATATTCCACTAATTCCACAATGACAGATGAGATAAGCCACTTTACCTTTCTCCACTGTCCCCTTCCCAAGACTCACCACTATTTAAAATTAGTGCGTATAAAGGCTCTCAGCTGTGGTTGAGACATACAGCTTATGATTAGCGTTACTGTGAAATGCCTTAAGCCTGCGGTGAAAGACGAGAGTTAGGGTCATGTTGTCCAAGTATTTCTTGAATAAAATAGTGCCATTCAAAACCCCAAATCTTAAGTCCCAATGAACCATTTTCTCATCTGAAAACCTCCCAACTGTCATCTTTGAAACCTAGCGGACATAAACTTGTATTGGATGTTAATATCATATTTCCTGAAATTATTCATACCCTAACATGGAGAACTGCTGAATGCAATCAGCAGACTACTGCAAAAAATTAATAACCACAATTCATCCATGCAATGTGTTTAGCTGGAATGTGCAAGAACATCCTGCGGCTTCACTGGTATTATAAATAGAAAAACAGGTAAAAGCCCTCAATACAGCCATGAACTGCTGTGGTTTAAAAAAAAAAAGCTGTGTAGAAAAAAAAGGGCCTCTGGTTTCAGTGAGGTTTGTTTGGGAGGCTGATGATACATCCCTCAAGCTGTCTGGAAAATGAACTCACACAGTTCTTTAAACTAATTTGGCGGAATAACGGCGAATGGAGAAAAATGAAACATTGTTTTCTTATGGGAAAATCTTTGACGTTGTGTTTAACGACTGAATGACACTGCTGCAGGACAATGCCAGGATTGGAGATGAGTTCATGAGGCAGATCCAGTCTATTGCAGCCTACGTGCCCTACATGACCTGTCCAGGCAACCACGAAGCCACATAGTAGGTGGAGTTTCTTGTCACTGCATTTATTCTTTTTTAAATGAATTTAAACACACATTTGGTAAAGAATTGTTTCTTAACAGTGACCGTGTAAAGAGAAATTCATAGCCAGTGAGTCAACATGGAAGAAGTCTGACTGTTTTCCTTTTTGTTTACAATTTATTCCACATTCTGCTCAGGGGCAGAAGTGTAATTAATGGGTTTTGGACAAAAACAGCGGTACATGCTGTATTCCGTATTAGCGGGGGAGACTTGCCAAACACCAAATGACAAATTACATTCAGAACTGGCTACTGTAAATGTAAAGTTTGTGTGTGTAGGGGGACGGGACGGGACTGCAATCCCCCCCGAAAAACAACCTTTCTGGTCAGCCGCAGTTTTTCCCCTTTAAAGAACACACAGTGGTTTGCCGAAAACTCTTCACTGTACCGTTTGAACAGATGGGAGCTATTTTGGTCTCTAAAGACTGGAGCGGCGTCAGGAACCACCAACATCTAAACAAGGCAACGCTCTCCAAAACAAACATTTATCTGAATGGGAATCTTCAGCACTCACTATCTGTTTTTCAGTTCCAAGGGACGGGAACTCTGTCTGCGTTTTGACTCATCTTCACTGAATGTGCTGATCACATTTAAGTCTCGGAAATGTCCTGGACTGAGACACAGGGCAGCGAGGGGAGAGCAATGCAGTCCTTATTAGTTGTACTTTTTCAAGCAAAAGTCCTAAACATCTGCTGGCTCCAGCCTCTCAGATGTGATGAGAGTTTGTTTACATGATATTAAATGGAATATCTTTAGTTTTCTCAATACATAGGATATACACTTCCCTCATCAACAAAATAAAACAATCCTAACGACAAAGCATAAGATAACGTAACACAAAACAAAACAGAGCTCCTGGCAACACATATTCACTCCACATCACACAAGCTCAACTTTAGTATCGTTCTGTCAGTTTTGGACTGTTGGTCAGACAAAACACACAATTTGAGCTTGGAACCTGGGAAACTTTTTCACTATTTTTATAGATAAAATGTTTAAGTGGTTAATTTAAAAAAACATGTGCAGATTAACTGATAAATTAATTGTTTGTTGTGGCCACTGCTACTCTACATACATGAGTTGTTCATTGATATTCTGACATATTCATATTATGTCCTTTAGCTTTATTATTATGACACCACAAGGCTGCCTCATTAGACAGTGTCTTCATTGAATTGGAGTCTAAGGTTCTAACTTTTGCAAATAATTAATCAGCTTGGTTTGTATTAACAACGATCAGAAATGTACCACTGCCTATGAATTATAGCCGATTGTCTGATCAAATGTTTTCATTACATTTTGGAGTTCAGTTCAATGGTATTTTGTCGAAAATGATAGAGAATGGTTTAGCCTCAGATGCTTTTAATCCCAAAGATCAGCAGATATGTATCCCTAAATTCCAAGCACATCTGCTGGAGTTAGTTGTGTGCACATTTTGAAAGCTTTAGAGGTGCCTGATCTTGTACCATAATATTTACTTGCCACTGCGATACTAAGACAGTCCTCGCCTGGCCTTGCCATGTGTAACTGCCTGGTCTTTATTAAGGAGCTGCTAACAGTAGTCTCTTTTTCTTGGCGCTGCGTCCTGACATAAGAACCTGATATCAAGAACCATCTCGCTCGCTGCATTACATAACCAGAAAGCCAGCTCCTCTCTCCCTTTCCTATACCTAAATGTGTGTTTTGTTCTGCGGTGTTCCAGATATTCTCAGCAGCTGGCCCCTGCTTCTCCTTCCCCGCTCTCTGTTGTGCTCCCTCTCACTATACTTCTCTGTTCCTCTCTCTTTCCAACCTCAAAACCTAATGGGTAAAATGCAATTGAAGCAGCGCTGACCACAAACGTTTTCAGTCAGCATTCCAGCAGGATGAGAACAGTGGATCCACAGAAGATGCTAAGGCCCCAATCAAGACTGTCTTTGTTCACCCAGCACAATATGGCTCGTCAGGCCCTGGGAGGGACAGCGAAGTAACCGTCTCTGTTTGAAACAATGTCCTCTGATGGGAGTTAGTGACATGCTTCCTGAAGACTACAAACGGTTCCTTTCGGTTCTCTAACGGCCTGGATTACGCTCATCAGATGATGAAAGGGAAAGAATTGATGAGGAGGGAAAGTCTTGTTGGGTCAGTTTAAGAGTCAGGTTGTTCACATTGAATTTGACAGCCACCAAATTTTTATCTCCTTCTTATTTTAATGGAAAAGCAAACACATGGAAACAAGTGTGCTTTGGGTTACAGAGGATGACTCACACGTTGGACTCCCATAGTGCAGATTAATGAAACAAATATAAGTTTATCATATTTGTACCACAAAACGAGAGACTTGAAAACCTGCGGTTGATTTTATTTCTACAGGCTAATCCTTTCCTTCAGGCCATGCCCAGTTCTATCACTCTGTTTGGATTCATGGAGAGTATGTGTATTATTTTACGGAATAGAAGATTGATTTGTTTATTTCTACCAAGTACCCGGTGCCTTCCCAGATCCCTCTGCATGTTTGCTGGTACCATTCCTAGCCACAAGATGGGAGTATGAACTCATCTTACGTCTGTTCTTGGGTCAGTGCCATTACTGAGACCTCCAGATCATAATTGATTTTCACAGAAGCAGATCTCACTCTTTAGCTTTGTTTTAGCTTATGTTATTGTGTGGTTAGATCAGAATATACTTTAAATTTAGGGTTGATGCATTTAATACAACTTTTTAATAATATTTCTCTCATAGTCAGGACTTAAATATGAAAGTTGAAGTTTTAGCTGCTTTTTGTTAAGGATCATGTTGATGTGTGGCAATAATAGTATGATAGAGTGGACATAAAGATATTCTCCTTTGTGCTGAATGAGCACAGCTCACAAACTGGCCTCTGCTGCATTAATCCTGACCTCGGTGTCGACAGACACCACAGCTCTCGTTAGTTTTAGACTTATTCAGCATTAGTAAAACTCTCTGTGGTCCTTCTTTTGTATCCCTCTTCCTGGCCTTTGACCTCTGACCCCGCTGGTCTCTAGTTACCGCTAACCCTACATTAACCCAGTCAGTGCAGGGATCCGAACCGTCCCACCCTGCCCTGGCTGCAGTCCAGAATATTGCCTTTTTTTCCTCTTCTCCCTTATGTAAGATAAGAAAACAGCCATTTCCATCACCTCGCTTAGTTAATAGCCCGTTGAGAAGATTTGCTCCTGCTTTCATGCTGAAATTAAAAACTGTGAAAAGAGACCGGCGGGTTGGCATCGGCCAGAGCTTTCCATGAAAGACTTTTTCCCTTTTTGCATGGTGCGTGCACCCATTGTAATATCTGAAGAGTACTGGTTTAATGTGGATGATGGTGCACTCCTAGATGTTGTTTTCAATTACTCCTTGTCTTAAAGGACATGTCTATTTACGTAGTTTGGTGCAGAGCAAATAGTCATAGAAATGAGTGGTGGTGATTGTGGTAGCAGTGATAGATAAGTGTAGGGGTGGACTGACCACTACAAGCATCCTACTATATCTGGATCAAGTAGGAACCACCACAACTCAAGGCTGACACAGCTGTGGAAGTGCCTTAGGTTGTGATGCCGCTAATGGCCAGTGGATCTAAAATGATTGTAATCTTTAAAAAAGATGTCATGGTTTTTTAACAGGGGTATATTTAGAGGCAGTTTTTCTTGATTGACAGGTCTAGTACACATTGTGGCTCCTACTCGCTCCACCAATGCTCCCCCACGTCGCCCACATTTTTGATTATCTGGCTCTAGAAACTGACCATGATCCTAAGCTTCAAAACGTCCCATCAGAAACTTATAGGGCGATGTCCATGTTTTTCTACAGCCTTTAATTTGGAGAGGCAACCACTGATAGCCTGGCTACAGCAAAGCGTACGGTTTTTCAGAACATCTAAAACAAGCTACATCTTTTTCTTTTAAGTTTGAAGCAGATGGCACCGCCACCAGTTTAATGGTCATCTTTATCTGATGATATACCGGGCCGAGTTCTCTTCCAGCTTGAAATGAAAACTGAAAAGTAACATAAAACAAAAACAAGAACAGTCAGTTATTTTAAGAAATGCTGGTTTATAGTAAAGCTGAGAATTATCTTCACTTCACACAGTGTGTTACGAATGGATTGCAGTTTCTTTTCTTTGAGCTCTGGTGTAGACACCACAAAATAAGAGAGGGCAGAAGTCTGTGGTGTTAATTGCTGTTTCTTACGAACGTAGATTGTATGATCAGCTCATCTAACTAACCTTTCATTTCTTATCTTGTGTGTTTACAGTAACTTCTCCAACTACAGGAACCGCTTCAGCATGCCGGGCCAGACTGAGAGCCTGTGGTACAGGTGAGGGAGGAGAAAATATGTCGACCTGGTGGAATCAATTAGACAGTTGCTGCTTTAGTTAAGTGGACTTTGACGTGCTTAAGCAGGTGAAAGAACCGCAAGCGGTTCTGGTCAGTAGAGGGCCACTTTAAATCCAAAGTGAATGCTAGCTGCACACACACACACAGAGCTAGGAAAGAGAAATCATTTCTTTTCCAACAAGGGGCCCCATGTGAAGTATCATGTGAAGGTTTACCAAACCTCCTACTGTATTTCAGTAAGCATTAATGACCTGTAAGAGGCGGCCCAGAGGAATTGGCAGCAGAGAGGTGCAGAGCTCCCTTCTCTTAGTTTAGTTTGCTTCCTATCTCAGGGACATTGGGACTACACAAAGGAGCTATACATCTGACTGGATGACTCATAAGCCACTACAGACCTCCTTCTTGCAGACAGTAAGATAATACCTTGCTAGACCACAGGCCAGCTGCCCACTCCTCAGTCCTAGACACAGACAGGCCTGCTGGCTGAGAGCCCTTGCCTCGTGTGCATGATTAGGAACAAGGGGAGGCAATCTGAAATCCCTGCTTCTACTGGAAACAGTTCCTAACATACAGTGCACATGTACAGAACCCATGCTTTTCTATTAAGCCTGCAGGATGAACACGTAAGCACTCACATAGTATGGTAAGGAGTTTATTCACTAAAGTGGATCTGGCACCACATTTAACAGCAAGAGACAAAAATGTCTGAGTATTTTTCACACAATCTGGAATTTAAAGAGAGGCCTGTTCTTGCTTATCGACTGACTTTCGGCATGCTTCCTCTACTGGATTGAGGCCGTGTATCATTTTAACGATGTGTGTCCACAGCTGGAACCTGGGGTCAGCACACATCATCTCCATCTCCACTGAGGTTTATTTCTATCTCGAATTCGGCCTGGAGCTCCTCTTCAAGCAGTACGAGTGGCTGACAAAAGACCTTGAGGTTACTTACTGCACCAGTTACATGTGTTGATGATGGCTAAGTGCTCTCCATTGTTCCTACATTTGTTCTCTCTTTTTTCCACTTTAGCACAATGCTATCTTTCAAAGTCGTTCCATTCTCTGTTTCTGCATTGTAAATCTATTTCTTCTACTTGTCATTCTGTTCCAAATAACATTGTAGGAAATCTGTCTTCTAACCTAGGAGGCCAATAAGCCAGAGAACCGAGCAGTGCGTCCATGGATCATCACCATGGGACACAGACCCATGTATTGCTCTGATGACGACCAAGATGACTGCACCAAGTTTGACTCCTATGTGTGTAAACCACAGAATCCTATCCATTCATTCATACACTGTTTCTAATGTACACAGTAGCCTAAACTACTGATGTCTTCACACTGCCATACTCATACTGACCGGTAGTTTTATAAGGAGCATGTACCTTAAAGAGGAAGACTGCTCTAAAGTCTGGCGGAGGATGATGCCACACACACATCTGCTTGGTCTCAAGTGTGGAAATTCCTGTTGTAATGGCTTCGCTGCATTCCTGATGGCAGACATTTTATTAGCATAATTATTAACTGTTAGTAGAACAGCTATGTACGGAACATTATTTTATTTGGCCAAGAAAAAGAAATTTGAAAATTATCATTATCTTAAAACCTTTTTCTAAATTGCCTCCAAAGGGCTTCTTGTTTATTTTGCACTACGTGGACATGTTTGTATTGTTAAAGGTTTCATTTCATCACATAAAGATATTTGTAGGATTCGTTTTCTGCTGTGTTGCCTGAGACTTTAATGGCCCCTGCTAGCAGACGTGTCACGCATGTTGCAAGCTGGCCAGTCCACATCGCAGCCCGTAAGCACATTGAGTACGGTCTGCTGTCATAATCACTGTAATTTGGAACCAAATAGTTTCCACTTAGGCTGACTTTTCTCAGCACTTGGCACTGTTTGCAGTGAGGCTGGCATGGGCATGATGGGGCTCCACCAGGTAGTGTTTCAGGTAGCAGATACTGTTTTAACCGTTAATGCCGGTTCATGCTGTCATTATGCCTCTCTGTTATATCTCAGGTCCGACTGGGACGGAATGACACCAAACCGCCAGCTCCTGGTCTAGAGGATCTATTTTACCGCTACGGTATGCTCTCTATTTGACAACCAGCTGTGTGCTGCTAATGGGTGTTTAAGATCGCAAATTTGCACGCTCAGACAGACTAATGTCCTAACAGTTGCAGAGAGCAGAGCAATCCAAACATCCTTTATTAAAAAAACAGGCCTTCGGTCTGGCGGATGCCCAACAGCGCATTTGCAAATGTTTTTCCTGTATTACATTTCTCAGACTATTTGTTTGTTGCATTTAATTATTCAACTTGTGGTGGAACTTTGAAAGTTTTGGTTGTTCTGATCTTAAGCTTTTGTTGATTGCTGAGAAATCTCAAAATTAAATGGGCATAGGATCTGAGAAACGATAGATTCCACAGCAAAATTGAATTGAGCTGTTTTGGCAGTTGTGTTTTTCTATGGAAGGTTGCTGACTATCAGCAGATTTCTTTCACAGGAGTGGATCTGGAGTTGTGGGCACATGAGCACACATATGAGAGGCTTTGGCCAGTCTACGGTGACAAGGTCAGCTCCTGCATTCTTAATTCACCATATGGTTACATATATAGCCTTTGTTTTGGATCGGTGCAAGTGACTTGTGATGTTTTTCTCTTTAGGTGTACAATGGGAGCAAAGACCAGCCTTACGTGAACCCAAAAGCTCCAGTGCACATTATCACAGGCTCTGCTGTAAGTACTTTCACATCACTGCATCATTGTTTTTTACACATATATCAGTGCACAAATTGACAGCAGAATCAACAAAAACAATGTTAGGTATTGTTCACAGTCTTTTCTGTGCAGCAGTTGTTCTGCCACATAAGTTCAGTACCAGCTGTTCCTTTGGTTAAGGGTTTTCTGATGTGGTGGTGAGCAGCGCATGGCATGCTTCGTCATCCAACCACAGAGGGGTTAGTCACTGGGATATCACAACGCGGCCAGACTCACACCGAGACATAGCCACAGTTGTAAATGTCACACAGGGCTTTGTGGACGGAGCTGGAGAAAGGCATGCGGTTCATCACTAACAGATTCAGTTTAATCACCGCCGATTCCTCTGCAGGGCTGCAGAGAGAGGACTGACAGGTTCAATCCAAACCCCAAGGACTGGAGCGCTTTCCGCAGCACAGACTACGGCTACACCCGCATGCAACTGGTCAACGCCACCCACCTTTACTTGGAGCAGGTCTCTGATGACCAGGTAAGCACACAAGGAGAACCGTGCACACAAGCACAGAACAGGTGGAATGACATATAAAGCTCAAAGAGCATTGCTCAAGTGATGAATAATTTTGTATGTGTTCCAGTACGGCAAGGTGATTGACAGCATATGGGTGGTGAAGGATAAGCATGGCTTCTCTGCCTGGTTCTGAAGACTGCCATCCTTAAAAAAACTACCTGCTTAGGAAATGCACTTTGAATTCAAAACAAGCACAATATTTGCTGTGTCACACCAATAATGCACTTATGATGAAAAGTACAAATGTTTTTATTTCTGACCATTTCTTCAGCTTTTAATTTTCCTTCTTTTTTATTCAATAAGAACACTCATTATCACTATGGTGACCAGTTACTTTAAATGTATATAATGTAACTGTAATTTTCTGTGAGGTGCTCTGACAATGTTTTGTAAACAGGGCATCAAAAATTGTTTTGCTTTTGAATAAATTCAGCTTTTTTTATGGATCTCTGGATTGGTTCTCCCTCCAAAACCATCACTGTAGTCTGACTTAAGTTTTTATAGTTTAACTGTTCATCAGGTAGATGTAGGTCCCTTCCTTGCCGCCTGAATAATCCACTGACAATTACATAGACAGCATGAGTCTGGCAGACACCAGGCCCCGTTCCTTTTCTAAGCATATTTTTCATTTCAAAAAACTGGAAATGCACTTACATAGATCAGATCTCTCTTCTATCACTCTATCTAGAAGACAGATTTTCCCTTGGCTAATCCTATCAGGATATTGGAACCTCATTTCATTGTTCATCTGTGTGGCCGTTATGACCTGAGACAAGTAGTCTACGCCTACACAAAAGGACTATTATGTAACTCAGGGATGCTTGTGGCTTGGGCAGAGTGAGAGAAGACTCTTTCCCCAGAGGAGTGTTGCTCACGCCATGACTCTCACCACTATGTTGCCATTAATTACTAACAACAGCATGCTGCCTCTGACGAACGCTGGCTGAAAACCAGCGCAGATCTGCATGCGTCTGTGTTTTGAGTTATCAAGCTGTCTGTTAGCGCCATACTCTAATCATGTCTCTGCATAATTCTGTTGACACAATATAGTCTACATATACAAAATCAACGATCCGTTAACCCTACACACATGAGTGAACATACAGCACGTTATTTGGCAGACATTTTTATCCAAAGCACATGCAATGCTATGAGAGGATACATGTTAATCACTGATGGAAACGCTGCAAGGGGAAGCACCATTTTTGAACCCGAATGAAGGACCAAAAACTGTAAAAGACAAAAAATTACACCAGCTTACACTTCGTCAAGATGTGTCACAACAAGTTATCTATAAGAAGCTGAGAGTTCTTGTAGAGAGTACAAAAGCAGTCAGGCGTCAGTAGCATGTCTGTAAATCTAACCAAGGATTTGTTGAACTTCTCTCTGATGTCGATAACCCGCTGCGCAGTGGTGTCTGGCAGTCGAAAGACACACAAGCATACAGTGATCACACCTCACACTCACATGCCCTCGGTGCGCCTACCCACTGCTAACTGCCAATCACACACAGCCTTATGATTGTAAAAGTATCTTTGTAGAGAAAGCCCCGCACCTCTGAGTTCCTAACCTTTGACCATGCTGTACTCTGTATATTGTTGTGTCCCACTGAGTGAGAGACACAAGGAAGAAGCGGCGCTAAGTGCAGACTGCAGAGACCAGCGGGGGGGCCCGGAGAGGAGAGCATGTGCTGCCAGACTGTAGATTGAATCGTTGCATTTGTTTACAATTGTGAGAGACTACATTTATAGTCCAATAAAAGTTGGTTGTTTTCCAGTTAGTCATTTATGTACAATGGATGGATGGAAAGTTCTTGCCTTAAATAATGAGCATTTTGTGCTCTGTGCACGTTCCTCATCATTTAGTTCATGTGATTTCTTAAAATCCAGAAAAAAAAAAAAACATTGATCGCAATCCAGGAAAAAAAGAGCAAAGAGAAAATAACATGTCACTTCAGATCACATGTCTGTTGCTGAAATATGATGTGCTTATTACCGCTTATGATAGAGGAACAGCAGGTTTGTGGTATTGTGGTTGAGGGCTTTTGTTGACAGAAATTGATTCTTGCCTTTAACAGGGCAACAGATTTTCTTGCACTTCCTCGTCTAGTCCATGTTAGCCAATTTATTTCTGTCAACCTTTGCAGACTTTGGCTGGTCAGGAGTCAAATTTGTTAGCTCATTTCAACAAAACCTACTTAGAGGAATTCTGTCTTTATGCTTTCAGACATGAAGCACACTGAAATACCCTGCTCCTCACCGATAGTGAGCATCAGTAGGGTTGTTGTAACTCACTGGCATGACAGTTTAATGTGCTACATTTGACTGGAATTTGCCCTGTTAGTCCTCATCAGGCTAGTTTAACATTAGAGTTCATTGTCATTTGATGACCTAGTAAAACAGCTGTTTTGATGACCACATGGCCCTTCCTATTACAGTTAACTTCATTGCAACAGGCAATTTCTAATGATATATCAACAGCTATTTATCCCTTCCCAAACTTATGGCTCAGTAAACCCTAAAAGTAATGAACTATCTCAATACCGCATGTGAACTTGGGAAACAGATGTCTCTTTCTCTACACCAAACAGCCATGCAACCTCTCTATAAGACCTCTCAAAAATCCCTTCAGTTAAACTCTGTGGCTTACCAACATTATTTATCTGTTTTCAAGAGTCTCTAGTAGCTCTTACACTCAACAACAAACTCCCTCAGGAGACAGGAAAGGGCTTCTGTGTGGTATTTCTCTCCACGGGTGATCAAGGGGCGGCTCTTGATCGCAGGGTTAAACTGTGGAGACTGGGGACATATGTAATGAATTCAAGGCCCTCAGATGCTGATTTCTTTTATCAATCCATCAGCTCAGTGTTCTTCCATAACCAAAGCGCCACTATTAAGCAGCCTCAGACCACCAACAAGACAAACAGCCAAGTACAGTCTACCCAGGCACATCAGTGCACATTCTTGCTATAATTCCACTCTCAACATCAACACCACAGTGACTTACAGGAGTTCAGCATATGGCATCAACAGCAACACAGCATGTGCGCTGTGCACACACTATATTGCCCAATAAATCTGAGGTAAGCATGATAGCATCCATGCTGAAACAGGGTTTTGTTTTTATACTTGCACAAAGTGTATGAGGGAAATACAAAACACATTTTCTCCATTAGAACAACGTAAACCGAAATAGATCATACGGAGGATTTGATGAAAGCAGTATATTATTCCTTGAGATATGAGAGGCAGGCCACCTGGGTAGAAATAACACTGAAAGTCAAGTCTAAGACACTCACCATCAACCACCATCAGGAGTCAAACAGCACGTGTCCTGTCTCTTACATAGCACATGGGTGTAATTTCACATTAGTATAACAAGGAGTCCACTTTCAAAATGTGCACAGTTTTGATTGATTACCTTACACAAATGTACTGTAAGTTGTAACCAATAGTAAGACCCAATATAGCAGATGCTGTTCAAGTTACCATGTGTGAGTGTCAGTACACTGAATACTACAGTTAGCCTCCCGTTACCCTTGTGCCCAAGGAAGTGGTGCTGCAGTATTTGGAAAGACTATAGAGTATCTTAACTAATCTTAAAAATGAAAGTTGCATGAAAACTAATGAGGAGAGATATCTAAACAGTTAGCCAAAAGTAATACAAATGGTTGGAAAGAGCTAAATTAATGAATAAACTGTTCAAATAATTTTGAAATGTATTTTTTAACGTATTAAAGTTTAGGATAAATTGTCAAAATAATAGCTTAAAGTTTTGGATAAACGTTTGAGATGGTTAAAAGTAGTCGATAAATGGATGAAATAGTAACTTAAAGTTTTGTTATATGAAATAGATGAATGCTGAAAGGTTTAAACATTCTCACTCCAAGTGCTAGTACAAATGCAAACTTGATCAAACCGACTTAAACACTGACAGTTAAAAAATATTAAAAATGTCCATTATTGTATGATCATTATTGAAGTTACATAACATCCTGTTCAAAATCAGTTCCACTGAATACATTTGGAACAACAGCAGTCATGTTGATGAAGGGGTACCTGAGCTCATTTGGGTTGTAGGGGCACATCAGATAAAGAAGGTTGGGAACCACAACACATGTGAAGGATCAGTCTGTATAGTAGCATCATTTAACCTTCATCCTTTAAATATAATGTGCAGTGTATGATAATTTACAGATGTAAAAGTTTCCATGCAGTTCTGACCACAAACACATAAAAATATAACTAAAAAATGGAGCTTGCAAGCATCAGTGGCAGTCATACATCCTGATTAGTACTGCAATTTATCAGGAAGACATAAGGTTAACTATGCTTGTTTAGTCAAGCAAGAACTCAGTATATGACCCATAGTCATCATGCTGCAATTGAACAGGGAGAGGGTTTGACCCCTAATTTTTGTGTCCTCCTATCTTCTAATTTTCAAGTCATCAATCTTCCTCCATTAAGCAGAAGAACCTGCGGCTACACAGCTCATGTTGTTCAGTGTACAGTCGAGGTTGTTCCTGAAAGCCACAGCAGGCCAACCTGAGACTCCTCTCAGACTGCAGGAAGTGCTAGCTTTGTGCCAGGGGGCTGAGATTCAACTCACTCATTTTGAGCTTCCACCCTTGAGGGACCTTGAGAGCTGAGTGACAACATGGGTGTGCTACCACATTGGCTGCTGTTCTCAGGCAGAACTGGGGCATGTCACTCGGTTCAAGAAGACAGTGTTGGGGTCTGTTGAGTTCAAAAGAAATTCTCATTCAGCAGCCTGCCTAGTGTTGGCAAGCTAAATTCGTTTAAGCCTGATCCATCGACAATATGATGTCTGACTTAGTTGCCAGTGCCTTGCTATGCTGAAATGAGCAAGATCATGCATTGTGGCATCTGATTATATATTTTCTGTTTCTTAGTAATGGAAACTAGGCTTCTTTATCACCTAGCTGTCACAACATCAACCTGTTTGTGATCGCACTTAACCTATTGTGGAATGCCACCACTGCTGAATAGAATTACCCCAGTCCTCTTAGTCAGACCACAAGGATCCAACTCATTTAACTGCTGCACATGCTCTCAGGGCTCCGTCATGCCTGCCTGGTTAAGACAAATTGCATGGCAGAGCTGTCTTCTCTCACAGGCTGGCAAATGCTCTCACAGTATGCAGCATGCTGTTAAGAACAATGCCAGCCTCATTATTGCCTGCCCTGTGTCCTAAATGTTGTACATGCCAGGCAGTCTGTCTGTCTGTCTGTCTGTCTGTCTGTCTGTCTGTCTGTCTGTCTGTCCCCCTTTAACTTTGGTTACTGTTCTCACACTTGACTTCAAATATCAGTGAGGCCTGTCATTGTTGAAACCTTTGCTAACAATGTAATGTTCTTACTGATCCTTGTCCACGTTCAGATCTGCATTACTGTAGAGCACAGGCTGTGTTGAGATGAATACCCCAC